GATTTTTTTTTCCTCCCCACTACTGCAGAGTCCAAGTAGAAGATAAAGAGTTTATTGATCATAAAAGCTGTTGCTATGTTATACTTGCAGAAGTCTATTTTATTGTTCATAATTTAAATAAAACTTATATCAGTGTAAAGTATTTAAATATATTCTAAAGGCTTTTCATAGAAGGCTTTTCATAGAATCATAGAATCATAGAATCGTTTAGGTTGGAAAAGACCTTTAAGATCATCCAGTCCAACCATTAACCTACACTACCAAGTCCACACTAAACCAATCAAGGGTAGACTAGACTAAACCAAACCATGTCCCAAAGTGCCATGTCTACCCATTTTTGGAACATTTCCAGGGATGGTGACTCCACCACCTCTCTGGGCAGCCTGTTCCAATGCTTGACCACCCTTTCCGTAAAGAAATTTTTCCTAATTTCCAGCCTAAACCTCCCCTGGCGCAGCTTAAGCCCATTTCCTCTCGTCCTATCGCTAGCTACTTGGGAGAAGAGACCAACACCCACCTCGCTACAACCTCCTTTCAGGTAGTTGCAGAGAGCGATAAGGTCTCCCCTCAGCCTCCTCTTCTCCAGGCTAAACAACCCCAGTTCCCTCAGCCGCTCCTCATAAGGCCTGTGCTCCAGACCCTTCACCAGCTTCGTTGCCCTTCTCTGAACACGCTCCAGCACCTCAATGTCTTTCTTGTATTGAGGGGCCCAAAACTGGACACAGTATTCCAGGTGCGGTCTCACCAGTGCCGAGTACAGGGGAACAATCACCTCCCTGCTTCTGCTGGCCACACTATTCCTGATACAAGCCAAGATGCTGTTGGCCTTCTTGGCCACCTGGGCAGACTGCTGGCTCATGTTCAGCCGGCTGTCTAGATATATTGTGAAAAAGGATGTCTAAAGTGGGAAATACTGGTTATTTTATATGTCATTTTGAAAACAGTGATAAATGAAACCTAACAGTGTTCATAAGATCTGAAAGTGATTTTAATAAGCCAAAAGTTTCCTTGTATTGCAACTGAAAGTGGGTCTTTAATCACAGAACCATACAACAGCCCAGGTTGGAAGGGACCTCAGAAGATCATCTGGTCCAACATTTTGGTGCTTTATCTATCACCGTGTCCAGTTGCATCCTGAAAACCTCCAGTTGTGGGGACTCCACCATGTCCCTGGGGAGGTTGTTCCTGTGATTGGTTGTTCTCACTGTAAAAAATTTCGTTTGTATATTGAGATGAAATCCACATACTTGTTTTCCATTTAGCAGTGTATGTACAAAGCCCATTAAAATTAAGAAAGGTTTTGGACAATTGATGTTTCCTCAATTTTCAAAGTAATCACCTTTGCTTTAAATACCAATCAGCCTCAAATATGCAAATGTTGATAGCATTGAATTTGTATAGAATTGATCAGCTTCAAATATAATAACCAAAACCTTCAGCTTCATGATCTAAATTAGCAAAAGCTGATGTACTACTTAATGCTAGAAGTGTATCCTTTTTACTGTAGTGTGATAACCTGAGACAAACAAACCTGCTAGGGCTTGGAAACATTTTTCTCAAAGAGAGTCTTTGTTTATTTTTAAGCCAGAGGCTCTTTGGCTTATGCAATGGGCTCTGCAAAAACTTGTAGCCCAGAGAGGAGTTGGAGAAAGCACAAAACAAGCAGTGCACAACCATTTACATGGAAGGCAGATTGCTTTAGATGTGGTAGGTGCAGCCACTGCTAGGAGGTGAAGTTGTTACCTTCATTTGTACTCCACATGGAACAGCTGGAGCTACAGGTCTCGCTGTGTAAGAGCACCAGTTCAAAGAATATGCCGGAAGCTGCAGGCAACTCTAGCACAACCATGGCAGATAAATCTTTTTTTCCCCAGTGCTACATTTTTTGTTTTGGGATTCGACTAGAGGGTCATCTTACAGTCTGGACTTCAAATATGAAACATCTAGGCCACAATCTTACAAAGCACTCCCGTATATATATTTGCTCATGTAAATGCTCCCAGGGTCCTAGAAATAGTGGTGGTGTTGAAAAGTTTTGAAACATACCTTGTTATGTGTGAAAGGAAGACCTGGCAAAGTGTCATAAAATTCAGTAAGGATGTCTAAATAACACGTTACCTTTCAATCAAGATACATATGCGCAAGTCTCCAAGTTATGCCACTGGGTAAAGTAGCATAAACTAGAGCACGAAAGAAAAGTGTGGCTACGAAGTGACACTGTGGTTCTAAGTGCCGATTTCATGCCCTCTCACTGTGGCCTCTCACAGAACTACTACCTTCTCTGAAATTCAGAGATACCAGCTCCTGCTGGACTCAAAACTCAGCAGAAAGTGCAAGCCAGAAATCCCTTGCTCTTACTTGCTCTGATATTTGCCTCTGTGGTTGATCCGTTCCTAGGGGTGCACAAACTGGCATGGCTGGCATCTCTGCTTCGCTGCCACCCTGTTGAGAAGAGCCAAACTAAACTGAGACAGAACTGAAGCATCTCTCCGGAGCCAATTATTGACATTAACTCTGGTTTTCAGCAGACAAGAAAATAATGTTTTGTAAATGTTTCATCTGAGTCCTGTTAGAAAAGCAACAAACAGGCTTGTGCTACTTTGACGTGCCCTTGTGCCGTCTCCATTCCTTCTTAAGCAAACCCAGATTTCCACACAGATGGTGACAGAACATCATTAGCACTTATATGGAAAACTCATCTGAAACCTGTATCAAATTTGTCCCCATTAGGTTCAAATTTCATAACTTGCAAGTAAAACTGGGCTTGGTTTCTTCCATCTTTTCTCCTAGTTCATTTGAATTTAAGCCTGTAAGTAGTTTCTTCATTCCTTTCAGGTAGACCGAGGTCTTGAGAAAACCTAGAAAATACAGAAGTACTTTTGTTCATCCAGCAAAAAGAACCTAAGCCCTGTATACTTTGAATGCTGGACTTAAGCTCAAGAATTTAGGATTATATGAAATCTCATTAGTTCTGTACATATTTAACATAAGCACTCAAAATCTTAACTCTTTTCTAGGAAGTACTGGACACTCGCATGTGAATTCAAAAATCTCTGGGCTTAAATTCTCCTTTTTCCAGATTCATCATACAAATTGAGGCAACTTTTTTGGTATTGCCTTTCATTGAAGAAAACCTTCACAGCTGTGAAAAAAACCCCCAAAACCCACTATATAGTCTGTTCCACAAAAGGTATGTTTTTAAGCTCTTTTAACTAATTTTTCCAGTGTGGTGCATATATATGTGTGTGTGTATATTTTCTTAAGACATTTATAATTCCTTTCATTTTAGTAGGCATCGGATTGCTTCAGCTAAATGCTAAGCAAGCTAACAGGCTACACGTTGAAGAAATACTTGCTAATGATTTGGAAAAAATAAGGAATTCAATAAACCATCTGAATTACTTGCAGTTTCTGGGGAGATTATCTAAGCCATTTCAGTTCAAAAAGCTTTTCAAATGCATTCATTATGCTCCTGTGTCCAAGTTTCTAAAGAATCCACAGAAGAAATTTCAGAAACAGATGGATTATCAACATACTCAACAAGTTTTTTGTATCCAGACTTTGATGATTATGGGCATGAGTCTTCCTGGAGTTATTTGGCAAGAACACTGCCAAAGATTATCTGTATTTGTACTCATCTACCAAAAGTACTCAGAAACTATATATAGAGTACAACTGCACTTAAAATATAAAAGTGCTCTTCACTCATTAAGACAACAACCAACAGAGATATGCTTAGAAAAGCAACTGATGGAGGTTTCAAAGAAACTCACTCTGTTGGCTTGCAAGTATACACACCTGGTCACTCTGCTTGCTATGGAACCTTAAAGTTTAGGTACAAATAAGGTCACATAAGGTAGTAATTCTGTCCTTAACATTTGTGCAGATTTCCAGCTGTAGGTGAGAAAAGTCTCTTCCAAATCAAAACTGAGGATGAATGCAGCCTTACCCAAGAGGGTCCCATAAAGACATCTATATTCTTCTTCTATAGTTAATAGAGTCTGACACTCATAGCATGAATTTACATGCATGTGACAGATTTGGTAAAAAAAAAAACCAAAACACCTCCCAAACACCCTTGAAATGTACTTTATTTGGAAACATTAAACTGTGTGAGTCACAAATGTATGGAATTGCAGTTAGTTTTAGGTGTTGATTTGAGAGAGGTAGAAAAATATATCCTCTATTGCAGAATTCTATAAAATTACATGCATTTGTATACAAGGACACATGACAAAGTGTTTTATTAAAATAAAAAGCTTTAATACTTTCGCATTTAAAAGATTTAGCAGAAAATAATTGCTACAAACATGCTACAACAACATACATGTTCAAAAAGTTTTCAGTGCTTTCAAAGTTCAGCATTTTGGCAAAAATAAGTTTTTCTGTATATACTTCAAAAGTTGGCTATCATAATACTGATATAAAATACTTCATGTAGACTAGGGTCAGGTGCATAAAATACAATAAGTAATAAAACATACTGTTTGTATAAACATTTAAAGTATAAATTTCATTAGATAACATGCAAATACTGCAATATTTTAAATGGCACTTAAATATAGATACTGAGATTCTTTATAATTTTGCATCCAATATGAGATTCTGAAATGTACAAAACTATAAAAAGAACATATCTCTTCACTGAAGTCAGGTACTAGTATAGAGCTTGATTGTCATTTTACAAGCATTGAGCCCCATGTCCTGCAAATCTTCACTAGTCCAAGTAAAGACGTCTACTGAAATAGGCCCAGGGCTAGTTTTCTTCATAATAAAATATGGAAGCATATTTACATGAGAATAAACTCTTAAATTTTTGGTAAGGTAATTAAGTAGCAGCAATTTGTTTCTTCCAAAAATGATGTTTGAAATAGGTGCACGCTTCTTCTTGTCACTGATATGCATCTGAATAATATAAAATTAACATTCCTCAGTAAACTCAAATCACTATTTTGTTCATTGCTGAAAAAAACCCTGTAAGACCCCTTCTCACAAAAATCATAAATCCATGTCAGAACCTTCCAGAGTATTTTTATGTTTCCAAGATCAATGGAAAACAATCTAATTGTGCTGAAACAGTCATCTGACTAGTAATGAATACAAGAATAATCTTTTCACATTATTCCCAATACTTGTAGTTCTTCACTGAAAGATATTAGTTCATCACATCTTCTACAATTTTTGTTTTCTGGTTCAGTGATCAACAGTTCTGAATGTTCTTCACAATATAAACCACTGCAATACTCATGCACATTTTCTAAGCAGTTATATATAATATATTAATCCTGACAAGGTGAATAAAAGGCTTATGAACAGGGAGTGTAGAACAGGCACCACTTTAACAGAAGGAGAAGAAATGCTAAATGAAACTTGTACTTGAGATGCAATTAGAGCTGACAGCGGTACGTGTGATGCTAATGTTGGACTGTCTGAATTTATCAGTGACTCTATCTTTTCTGCTTCTTTATTGCAGGCTTCAATCTAAGGAAAAAAAAAAAAGTTATTATTTCTCTTCTTGCCATGTAAAATGCCAATGCAAAAATGTTGCTAGATAGCAAAATTCAGGAAAGAAAATCTGAGTTATTCCCATCAGCACATAAGGTTTATATAATTTTGGGGAGTATTGCTTAGAAAACATATTGGAGCTCTTATCAAAGACTTTGGTACAAGAAAACTACTGTCGAAGCCCTCAGTAGTAGCAAAAGGAAGGAGGCTACATACAAGTTATCGTGGGTGATGTTTTGAATGTTGATGCCAAAGAGCTCACAGTAAATTGTAACTAAAGTAAGTACCACTAAACCGGTGGATTTCCTTCCTGATTGACCGCGATACTGCCTTGAAGTCTGCAACAGTGGAAAAATCAGGATTTTCTACTTACTGGGCTTTTTCTTCCAAATCAGGCAAAACTGATTCTTTTATGGGAAGGGAAGAGAAGAATTGAAGTAATAGGAAAACCTGAGAAAACCCAGGTTTCCATTCCCCCACTGACATGATGATAATTATGAATTTATATTAGAAAACCCATTTTTTCCACCTTACCTTCTACTGCAGCCCAGGAGTCAATTTAGTACTATGCCTCTTTAACAGGTTTGGAAGCTGCCTCTGGAGAAGTTTTAACTTGACAAACTTAATATCTGGATACCCAAAGCTTTGAAAGTTGAGGAACTTCGAGCTCAGCAACAGGTGTCACCAGTGAGATGAGCAGCTCCTCCCTGCTTAGAGGTGGCCTCCCTAATTTCAGGGAGTCCTCCTCTCCCCAGGAGTCTGAACAGCACCTGGTGCAGATGGAGTGAGAGCTGACCAGACTGGCAAGGCTCAAGACCTTATTTCCTAAGTCCTGGTAACATTTTGGGCTATTTCTGCTAAAGAAGGAGACGTAAGTTGGAGCTGAATTGGACATAACAGGGTTGCTCCAGTAGCACGGGCAAGCAAAATACACAAAATATATCTGCCTGAGAAACAACTACCCTATTAGGTACTGCAGCTTGCAAAGTTTATGGCAGTGATTCTATCCCCTCACACTATACCATAACTTTAGCCCATCCCAGAAGCAATACCGAGCATGCAAAATTAGACTAGAAATAAAATGGAAATGGGAAGCAGCTATCAATATAAAATAAAAAACAAGAAAATGAATCTGCCTGAATTCTGTTTGTATTGTAAAAGATAAGAGAGAGTTTGTGGGCAGGTTTTCCCTCCCCTTCTTTTTCAAAGCTAAATACTTCATTTTGCAGTAGTACACATCAGTGTGTCAGGTAACAGAATGAACCAGTCAAGCACCTTATCTCCAAAGGGACTTCATTATAAAATGCTGTCAGCAGGGCCAGGCAAGACTATTAGAAACAACTACAAAATGGCAAGGAATTATATTCCTTTTAATAGGAAGAAGATATCCTCACTGGTCTTGCACAGGTTAGCAAGCAGAAAGTAAAAATGAAGCAACAGCTCCAAGACAATAATAACGCAATACATAGCCAAAGCCTTGCTTCTATTGCTCTGAACTGCTCCTAAGAAAATACTGTAAGAACTTGGAGCTGCATTTGTTGGTTTACCTTTAGAGTTTAGTACTGTGAGTGTTAGGTTCTTGCTTGCTAGCATGAACTATCTATGACACAGCAAGCTGGGCAGCTTATTGGAATGTTATTTCCTTTTTAAGGTCGTAATAGCATTTTGGGATCTCCCAGCACTTTTTACCACAGGGTGGAAAGGAATATCAAAACCAGGATGGTCTCAGAATAGTATCAACAGATCCTCTTTGGTATGAACTACTGCTTAACATCAAGACACACACAATGTATTAATATGGTATCAATATGTACGACGTGCTTCAGCCTAATATCACATATACTTCAATCTACTGTTAACCGTTTACACCAGAGACAAAGGAGTACCATTTCATATATAGGTATGTGTTTAATATACAATTAATATTAATTTAAGAGGTCATTCAGTAATTTCTTTATTTTCATCAGTTTATATTTTCTGTTATTTTAGCCATAGAAAGTTGAGGGTTCTGCAGTTATTAATTTTAAAACAAAAATCATACTACTCTCTCCTTGGCCTTCCTTCACCTCCCCCCTCTAATTACCCACACTCAGAAGCCTCTTATCAGAAAAGTAGGATTCTCAAGACACATTTTACCATCCATAATACTAGCTACTCATATTGAGTCACTAGAGAAATCCCCATGTACTCAGTACACAAGAAAATGCACAATTTTAAAACTGCTATATTGAAAGTAGTAAAGTGTACACATATAAAAATGAAGTAAATCCATGCTGGGTAAACAAAATAATAACATAGTCTACCTGCAATGGTTTGGGGTTCTGATCCACAGGAATGATGAGAATCACAATTTCAGATTCTATGCTTAAGTATCCAAACACATCACACTGTGGCACTGAGACATGCAGGCGGATTTTTTCAAGTATGTCAAGTACTGTTATAGGCTTTTTGTTTGTTACCTGGAAGAAAACAAAGAATGTCGTGGATGATGTGGTATTATGCAAAATTACATTTCTCCTCTTCACTGTTAATAACTTCATGTCATGCCAGAAAATTTGTTTCAGCCATTAAACTACTCAGTTCAAATCTCTAGCAAAAAAAAAACCCAAACCAAACTCCCCAAAACCATAAAAAAGTGAAAGGAAGAAGAGGAAAAGACGTTTCACTTCTCAGATTAACCATGGTTTTGATATGTGTTGTTCTCCACCTTCATGGTTAGTGTGTATATATATCATGTACCTCAAAATAATGTTGTCCTGTTTTTGGCTGGGATAGAGTTAATTTTCTTCCTAGTAGCAGGCATAGTGCTGTGTTTTGGATTTAGTAGGAGAAGAATGCTGATAACACACTGATGTTTTTAGTTGTTGCTAAGTGCTGCTTATGCTAGTCAAGGACTTTTCAGCTTCCATGCTCTGCCAGGCACACAAGAAACTGGGAGGGGGCACAGCCAGAATAGTTGATCCAAACTGGCCAAAGGGCTATTCCATACCATGTGACGTCATGCTCAGTATAGAAACTGGGGGGGAGTTGGCCGGGGAGCAGCGATCGCTGCTCGGGAACTGTCTGGGTATTGGTCGGTGGGTGGTGAGCAATTGCATTGTGCATCACTTGCTTTGTATATTATTATTGTTATTATCATTATTATATTGTTATTATCATTACTATTTTACTTTATTTCAATTATTAAACTGTTCTTATCTCAACCCAGGAGTGTTTCTCACTCTTACTCCTCCAATTCTCTCCCCCATCCCATCGGGGTAGGGGGAGTGAGTGAGCGGCTGCGTGGTGCTTAGTTGCTGGCTGGGGTTAAACCACGACAAATGTAAATGGTTATCTGTTTCAGTGGCTTGTACTCCCATGCTGGGAAACAAGAGGCAGAGCAGCCCTACCTGGCACTCCTTTACCATCACAGAACCTGTTTCAAGAGCCTCCAGAAATGAAGAGCTATGGCTTTGTGAAGACAGATATATGTCTGTATATATGGGAACATGTGACATTTGAAGATGACTACGTAACTACCAGGTAAATATATTTGCCTCTTAAAATTCTGTTATCTGTTCTGCTGTCTCTATCTGACAAACAATAATTTGATTGTAGATGCTCAGTCTATTTAAGGACTGCCACACCTTAAAGGTTTTTCACCTTTTTTCCAGGTCACTTCTGGATGTGTCGAACAGTATAGAAAACAACATTAATACTTCACTTGTGACTTCTGGTCATTTTGTTATGTTCCGTTTTCTAGCTTTAGCTGCAAGAGATTCATCCTTCTTATCCTACCGTAGCTTCATTTCTTTTAAGACCACTGGTACAGGACCTTAACAAATGGAAATCTGGGAAATCCAAGTAGACTACATGAATCAAATTTGCAAGGTGTCACACAACGCTTCTTTTACTAGATCTTTGAGGGATTTCCTTGTCATAGCCCCATTAAAATGTAGTTGACATGCTGACCGATCAGCAAACCCTGTTCAAACAGTCTTAGAACAGCAGCACACGGATACTTTAAGGGTGACTGATAGTGTCAAATGTCTTAGATTAGAAATCTAGTAGATTAGATTAGAATCGTAGCAGATACTAATGTTTCTTTGCTCTGCCTAGATGCTGACTTCTGTTTCCTATCTTTACAAAAAAGGCCAGAGGGGTGGGAGGGAGGAAAAAAAAGTCAGATTTATAGAACTCTTCAGTAATTGAAGCAGTTTTTTCTCATATGAACCACCTGTCTGAACTAAAATAGGCATACATTACTACTCCTTGCCCTCTTGGGATGGTTGAAGCACAAGCTAACATTTCTAGCAATGATTCCATCTATCTTGATGGATACCTTAACCATCTCCAGTACAACGGATGTATACACTGTATGTATACATACACTGTCAAAAGCAAGAGCCGCACACCAGTCCTATAGTTCTATTGATGGAATCAGAGGAGATCAATGTTATTAACATTAATTTCATGTAGATGACAAAAATATCCAATCCACTCAAATACAGTTGGGCATCTTCTATTGTATTATTAGGAGATACTCGCTGGCCTCTGACTCACACTGGAGTAACAAAGGCACAGAGCTTCTAACTCTCTATGCTCAGGGTGGTGTCACACCATGCACAGTCTCCAGGTGGCTATGATCAGTTAGAGATCATCTCTGGGGGCTTACTGGATTACCCAATTGAAGTTTCAAAGGAGAGAGCTTCAGTCAAACTTCTGTAATTTCTAGTATGTGTTAAGAGACTCCTGCCTTGAATGATTGAGATCACATATTTTAAATGTAAAGAGAGAAAGAGATATCTATATATATGTGAGTTCTGAAAACTTGACGACTGTGTATTGTGGTGTTAGGTGAGCAAGAGAAAAGAAAGTCAGCAAGACTGTGGTGACAAATGGAAGAAAAAAGAGAGGAGAAAAAAAAAGAAGAAATAAAGCAACTCCTAAGTACCCTAATCCAGGTAGTAGGGTGGTTAGTTGGTGAGAGTAGTTCAGTTATCACCAACTTGAATAAGTCCAATAAATTTCTTTAACTAGAAAGCCTTCTTCTAACTAAAACTAAAAATTCTTCTTCACAGCCACATGTTGTAATGTGTGAACTGAGAAGCTGCAGTGGTCACTCTGTCCCTGGTACCACTAGAGATGACAACTGTTAAGACATTCCAGGATGCAGTCATGACCTAACAGACACTGTTACTCAGCAAAACTGGTCAACGCACCCCCCCCCAAACACAAAATGTCTGAGAGGAAATCAGTAGAACATCAATCAGCAGCACACCCTTGAGATGAAGGCCAACCACACACTGGGCTGCAACAGCAAGAACAGAGCCAGCAGAAGTCACTGTCCCCCTTTATTTACGTGCCCCCTGCCTCCAGGCCACACTGACGAACTGGAGAGTCCAGTGGTGTTCAGCTTGTGGAATCTTCACTCCTGGAGGTTTTAAAAACTCAGCTGGCCAAGCTGATCTAACCGGAGTTAACCTTGCTTTGAGCACGGGGTTGGACTAGACCTCTCCAGGGGTCCTGTTCAAGCTAAATTTTTCTGTGTTTTTACAGTAATAGCTAATTCTCTCTACTTCTAAACTTATAAATAGGTTAATGTAATTTTATACTGTTTTGGGGAAATTCTCTTTCTTCTTGATATTTAAAAAAATAAAAACCATGTGCAGATGCAAACATTAATTGTTTTGCTTTGCTAGGCATGATCATCATATTACTCTATTTTGTTGTGATGTCGTGCCAAAAATCAAGCATTCTGCTCTCTTCCATACACTGAAGCATAAAAGCAGGGGTCAATAAAGTGCAATCTTTTTATACACCACACGGGGAGTCTGGGCCTAGTATATTGTGTTCAGTGATAGACAATGAACATCAGAAGATCCATCTTACACTGGAGGTTCTCAAAGAGGAGCAGTGAAGGATGCTGGTGATCTTACATCTTACAGAGATGTTAAATTAAAACCCAGCATTGTAGCTGATGAGCACAAAATCAGTGACAACTATCTAGATAACCCAAAGAGTGTAAAACAATCCAATTCAAGCATAAGACAGTATCAGAACTAAGTTACCTACGTTAGGAAATAGTGAGCTAGAAGAATAGTCTTAACAAAAAGGCCATAAATAACAAATATGCATTGTATTGCTATCATGAGATAGATGCAGTTCCTGTATTATTTGTCTTTACTATTACAAGTCATTTAAACTGCAAACCTGAATGTGCTTGTTTGTGACTACCCTAATTCTGTTTTGCTTTGCACTGTAATTAAATTTCTATACCTGATATTAAGAAATAAAGGGAAGTATAAACAGTATAAAGAAAAAAATGAAAGCACACACTATCTACTGAAAAATAATTGTTTTTATAATGTGTTAACTTTACAGGAGAGAGTATACAGTAACTTGACTTTTCCATGTACCATTTAACATAAGGCATGATTAAACTGTTTACCCTTGCAAAAGTATCCAGCTTGTCTTTGTCATATAAGATTCTCAGCATTCCAGCACATAATGGACAGCAGGCTCCTATGTGAACAAAAAAAAATCTCAGAAATAAAAGCAAGTAGTCTTTTCACTTTTAAGTAAGCAGAGGTCAAAAGTTGAACATTAACTGAGAATGAAAATAGCAAAACTACCGAAGCAAAGTAAATCTTTCAATTTGATACCAGAATTGCACAATTGCTAAGATTTTTTTAATGTTGAAAACATTTATAATGCAAAAGCAGTCACCTTTCAACACACATTTACTACTATCAACATGAAGCAGCAAGATGAATTTTCATTTGTTTCAAGATGGTACATTATTGTAAGCTAAAAACCATAGGCACTTTGTGTACTACAAGCCAAGGTTTTGTATGGATGCAAGCACATGCAACTACAGAAATGATGAATTTCAAGAGCTGAAACAGCTAGGACATAACAGAGGAAATTATGCACACTGCAAACATTAATTTATGCAGTTATACCATGTTGGAGCTTAGAATCTTTATATAATAATGGGGGGAAAAGGACTTGTCTGACAGATTTGTGTTTAACACAGAAGCATGTCATATTTCTCCTACTGTTTTTCCTCAAAGTCTCAGAAACCAAAGGGCTAATATTTCAACTTTCTACCCATGATTGTATATTTAATTCACCCCTCAACTTATTATGTATAATTCAGAGTGACTTTTACCATATTAAATGTAATACCAAAGCACAAAGACCCTTTTTCAAATCAGTGAATAAGCAAAATGCATAAAACTGTTTGTTTTTAAAAACTGAGCTTTCCTTGCTCTGTGTATTATCTGGTATTAGTTACTATTTCATAAAGGAGGTATTTGTGAAAACAATAAAAAAGCAGTTCAAACCAGCCCAACTGCAAAACTATTTCTACTGTCTTCCTCTTTCACAGTACTGTAAATACATATGGTATCTTTCTCTTCTAATTAAATATAATCTTTGTTCTTCTGGGAACTCTACTTTGATGATAGTTTGGCATTCCAGCGTGGTATCTGTGCTGCCACTTCCGAAAAATTACTCGTCTGATTCCCAGTGACATTCTACCCTCGACACCACAGACCTCATTCGTCTCCCCCAAAACAGCTGCAAGTTTCTAAAGACTGAAGGAGCGTGACTCCTAAAGCCAAGGCCTTTCCACTTCAGAATTACCCATCTGAGTCCTGACACTGGCTTGTTCTAGCCCTTAGTAAAGATCTGTACTTTGTCCTTTCTCTTAGATGTCTCAAAGACATTATGGAAGACAATATTTCAAAGCGTAAGTTTTGCTCCAAATATACACCTATTTATACACATAGCCTGGAGACTCCTATCTGCAGTAAACTTCAACAATGAATTAACATACCTGGTGCAATAACCGGTTTGCAGCCAGTAGCAGAAAGCTGGGGACATTTAACAAAGGCACACTCTGTATGAAAACTGTAGTCTGAGAGAACACCTACAGCCTGACAGTGTCCGTAATAGTCAACAGCCACACGATCGGAATAGGCAGCACAGACGCTGCTGTAGGTTTCCCCGTTATGTCCACATACAGGTTCCACTGATTTGCAAAATGGCTGAAACACATAGAAATGTTTCAAAGATCAATTTATCCATGCTACAGACAAAACTTCAGAGTAGTTTTAACATTACGAAAACCAAAGTTAATGGGAATTTGCTGCTAAGATTGTCAAACATTCAAAAAAGTAGGAAATCTAGAGTAAATAACCTGCCAGTTTATGAATGGGTAATAAATGCAAAGACTAAGTACTTAAAGAAGGTGACAGAAAAATGTGAGTTGGAATCTGAGAAACGTACAATAACACATGTTTTGGGAAGCAACAATTTTTGTTCTGTGCTAATGCTTAAATAAAAGGAACATGTAATTTAAATTAACTTATTTAATCAAGATTATTATAATTGTATTATACAATAAAGTATTGTTTTATTAATAAAATTAATTTATTAATATTTCATATTGTA